TTATGCAGTCTCTCAGCCCTGCACAAATGCTTAGCACCTACACTTTTTCCTGCGCGGTTGTGTCAGGTCACCGAATAATCGCTACCCGGCTGGCATTGTGCCAACTCTACGGCGTACGTTGGAACAAAAGAAGCTTGGCAACAGGTAAAACTGAGACAAGGAAGGAAATGCGTCGATAAGGAGATGCTGAAGTGTGCCTAAGCATCCATACCACGAACTTATAATATTCACTACATCAATTAATACGCAATTATTACGAATTGAAACGGGAACGCTTCATCCTGATGTAAATTTCGTTACATTTTTTGTTATTTATAACCATAATAATAAACTCATTTGATAAAGTGGTGCATTCACTCTTTTTTATGTCTCGATGACTGCATATGCGTAAAACGGTAGATACCAGACATTTTTAGACCCAATAATACGGCACAGTGGCGTATCCAGGGGGGAGGCCAAGAGGCCATGGCCTCCCCCTTTGGGATCAGACATGCAAGTGGGCCCTTTGGGTCACTTGAGTGCAGTGACGTACCCAAGGGGGCCACGGGTGCCCCTGAGGTCCAAGGATAACTCAGGGGAACCAGCGTGACGAAGGCGTTATGGGTCTCCCTGCCTTAATTCCAGTACTACAGAATGTCTTTTACTCGAAAAAAAAAACAATATCAAAGAGCGATATCTATCACAGTCACAAACACAGAGGGCCCCTAACTACCTGAGAGCCCTGGGTACCTGAGGGGCCCCCTGGTTACCTGAGGAGCCCTGGTTATCTGACGAGCCCCTAGTTACCTGAGGGGCCCCTGATTATCTGAGGGGCCCCTGGTTGTCCGAGAGGTTCCTGGTTGTCTAAGGGACCCCTGGCTACAGGGGCCCCTGGTCACCTGAGGGGTCCCTGGTTATCTGAAGGGCCCTGGTTACCTGAGGGCCCCTGGTCACGGGACCCCTGTTTACCTGAGGGGCCCCTGGTTACCTGAGGGACCCCTGGTTATCTGAAGGACTCCTGGTAAAGGACCCCTGGTTACGATGGCCCCTGGTTACCTGAGGGTCCCCTGGTTACCCGAGGGGCCTCCGGTTACCTGAGGGACCTCTGGTTATCTGAGTGGCCCCTAGTTACCCAAGGGGCCCCTCATCCCCTGGATGGCCCCTGGCCAGTCATCTGAAGAAGCCCTGGTCACCTGAAGGGCCCATGCTTACCCGGGGAGTACCTGGTTATCTGAAGGGATTCTGCAGTCACATGAAGGCCCTTAGTTGCCCGTGGAGTCCCTGGTATAACCGGCCTTTGATTATCAGAGGGTCTCCTGGTCACGGTAACCTGGTGGGCCCCTGATCAATTGAAAAGCCTCTGCAGTCACCTGAGAGGCCCCTGATTGCCTTAACGGCCCCTGATCACTTGGATTCAATGGCATAGCCAGGGGGCGAGGGACACGTGTCCGTTATGTGGTTTAGGGTCCCCTCGGGCCCGAGGGGCCCTACGGTGCCAATTGGCATCAGAGGGTCCGCGCTGGCCACGCTTCAACTGGAAAGGAGTGAAAGGACACCACGGGGCTTTTGAGAACACGTCATGGGCTCTTATGTAGCCACACTTATCTCCAGAAGGGCCCCACCCGAGGTTCTGAAGGACCTTGCCGGTCTCTGAGGGCCCTTGCCGACCAATGAGGGATCAGCTCACAGCTGTAAGGGCCCCACACCTGTTTGTTATTCCCCCACGGCCCACACCAGTATTTCTGAGGGCCCTTACAATGGCGACTGGGAGGGCCCTCACCGGTCACCGCCACCTCTAAGGGTCCCACACCAGCGCCTCTTAACGGCCTACATCGGCGGCTCTGAAGGCCCGCTCACCGGCGCCTCCGAGGGCCCTATACCAGCGCATCTAACGGCCACTTACCAGCGACTCTGAGGGCCTCTTACCGGCATCTCTGAGGTTCCCTTGCCGGCCTATGAAGGGCCACTAGTAACTTTCAGGGTCCCATACATGCCTATGACAGCCCCTACCAACGTCTCTAAGCCCTAACTCCTAAGGCCCCCACAACGCCGCCTGTGTGGACCCCACACCAGCGCATCTGACGGCATTTCATAGACACGTCTGAGGGACCAACACCGGTGACTCTGAGCGGCTCGCTCGCTTCGTTTCTTCAGTGGCAAAGAACCGCACCTGTACGTGGGTTAAGTATGCTACCACTGGGGCCCCTAAGGTCAATCAATCAATCAATCACATGTATTTGAACATCCAGACGCATGTATGAATTAGTACAAAAGCACTTACGTGCTTAAGTCGAGGTACATCATTCACACTGGTCCATGATAATTGACAACAAACACCCCACATCACACATCACTTTCATCAGGTAAGGGTGGGGCCCCCTTGAGCAGGTTTGGCCTCCCCTTTTCAAGATCCTGGATACGCCACTGATACGGCAGCATTGTAAATGTTGTTGTTTTTCTTTTTGCCTTTCATTGTGTGCTGTGCACGGACCACAAGTGTACATTTTGCGGGGCCTTATAACACGCACAATGTGTGGGCGTTCCTCGGCAACTCGCAGACCGTCACCGAGCACTACAGCCGTACCCCGATCGCCGCTCACTAACAAATGGAACGATCAACTCATCTCGATAGTGTCTCACCGAGTAAGACAGGCCGTGTCGGAGGGACACGATTGATGGCCGCAGCTCGGTAATGTCGTTCTCCTACGCGGTGATACCGGCCAGGCTGTGCTGCATTGTAGGTATTACCGGACGAGAAAAGGAGATAGAGAGAGAGAGAGAGAGAGAGAGAGAGAGAGAGAGAGAGAGAGAGAGAGAGAGAGAGAGAGAGAGAGAGAGAGAGAGAGAGAGAGAGAGAGAGAGAGAGAGAGAGAGAGAGAGAAAGAGAGAGAGAGAGAGAGAGGGAAAGAGACGAAGGTGTTAGAACCTGGAGAAGATGTTCATCCAGTTGGTCGGAAATGAACAACGGGTCTCCTCCTGGCTCTCTCTCTCTCTCTCTCTCTCTCTCTCTCTCTCTCTCTCTCTCTCTCTCTCTCTCTCTCTCTCTCTCTCTCTCTTGCCGACCATCAACGATATCCGGCGATGCTGAACCAATCCGTATATCCATCTGCATTGTGTGCAGACACCGGTTTTGGCTGACCGCAGAAGGAGCCATTTCAGCCCACCAGGACGACCATGAGGCCCCGGCCAGATGCCTTCTGATGAGCTCAATGGCGTGTCTGTATCTTCACCTGCGTCTGGTGCAGCTCACTTTATGATATGGCTGATCGATTACCAGGTGGGTTGGTATAAAGTGACTGAAATAGAAACCGGGTGCGCGACGGCTCCTTGGTACTTTCTTCCGCTTACAATAGAATCAAACTTATTGAAACGCATACGAGCAAGCTCAGTATAGTAACGATAAAATTGATTTGCGTCCACATTTAGATCAGGCAAATTAGTGTAAATGTAGTCAGGTACAAATTTATCGAATACGAAGTACGAGTATATCCTTTGCAAATTTGAAAAGTTGAATGTGCTTCTGTCTCATGGATCAGCGCGATGCATTGTCAGAGTAGAGTCGATAAAATATATATTCCCCAAAGCCAGACTGTTAATCTCACCTCTCCGGTATGTGGGAATAAGACATTTTTAGAAAGGACTTTCCTTGCAGGGATCGATAGTTCTTCATCATCAGAACTTGGTGGAACGATCTTTAAAACTTTCCCATAAAGAAAGCCTCTTTGCCATGGCGTAAGTGAAAGGTACTTTTAGCCGTCGACTGGGCGAGCTTTCAGCTCAGGCACATCGACTGTCAGTAATTGCTATTTAGATGACCTGTAGTTACTGTTGTTCTTTCATTACAGGGTGCTGGTCGTTTCGACTCAATGGCGAACGTTTGGCGCTCGCGTACGTCTGGTAATTTGGGTTCAAAGCGAAAGGCTCTGCAGTGGTAGACTCCTTGACTGACCCTTTGTTTGAAATTCTGCCATGCTGGATAAATAATCATAGCTGAAAGAAAGGACATTTTGCCGATATGGGAAGCACACGTTCCAGACTTGCAGTGATTTATGTAACATATGGAAGTAGGTTTCACGAGATGGTGCGTTTAAATATAGCACGAACGCTTCAGGTGCAAGTGCAGAGCCTTTCAGTACCCTCGAGATATTTGTGGCCGGGTGTTTCATTTGACATTCATTTATGATTCCCGTTCTGAAGTTCGTATACGCCTTCGGTGTCATTTAAGAGCATTTTAATCACAATATGTAACCTTTTAGCCATATGCGGTGTATTTCAATGCAAATATCTCGATAGGTCGCGTTACAAATGGCCTCGCCAAAGAACATAAACGCTATCGAGATGCCTTCTCAACGAGCATTTTGGGTCGGCACAGTAAAATCGTAGGGCGGGCCATTCGACAAAGCCACGTCATTGTTCTGCGACCGCTGCGGCGCTGGGGGGGGGGGGAGGGGGGGCGGACGGAGCGACAGCGGACCGGCGGCGTCGGCGGACCGGCGCTTACAGTCGCAGTCCAGTCCAGCCCCGCGGACCCAGCGCCAACAGTCGCAGCCCAGTCCAGCCCCGCGGACCGAGCGCCAACAGTCGCAGTCCAGTCCAGTCCCGCCCCGCGGACTGAGCGCCAACAGTCGCAGTCCAGTCCAGCCCCGCGGACCGAGGGCCAACAGTCGCAGTCCAGTCCAGCCAGCCCCGCGGACCGGCGCCAACAGTCGCAGTCCAGCCCCGCCGAGACCGCACGCCGAGATTCAAACGAGACCATGGCTCGTATGGATGACCGCACTCGAGGCCAACGAGCCACTCGCTCCAACAAAGCAAGATTAATGGCTCGCATTCAGCCAGAGCCATTCACGGCTTGCTTTCCGCGGCACGGTCCTTTCCGCTGGAAAATTAAAAACTTATCATGACGAGAGATAAATCACATCTTTTTGTTCGTGCATGCGTTAACATGCATGAAAGGTTGGGCTATCTTCATAGCTCCGTGAATATTTATTTATTTATTACATCCTTCTTAAAAAGGCAGACAGTAAACGGTGAGTCGAATGCATGTATTCGTTGTGCAGGTGACCGTCTCACACAGACATGCTCAGTTGCTGACTGAACAAACGTTCCTCGGCGGCCGCGTGCGGGAGATTCCATCCAGTCAACATCTTCATACAAACACCACACTGGGCCGGGGTACTACCAGACACACACCCGCGTGCGAGAGACAGACACCAGACACGGGTGTTTTGCAGCTATAATTCTCTCCGCCCCACGCGCACTGCAGGGGAAAGCGCCACTGTGGTTGCGAGAGGCTACATGATTAAGTACACTATGCCGATATTGCATATCGGACAATCTATGAGCCAGCCAAGTAATAACTTATCACAGCTAGGCCGATAATCATGTTGAACATGTTCAGTCAGAGCATTTACAAACAACGAACGATGTCGCGTCACAAGTGAGTTACGATATAGGGCATACGTGGTGCATGTACGGAGAATGGATGGCACTTGGTTTGGCCGCTTCTTTTCGCTTCTTGTGGCCGCTTATTCATCACACGAGGGTATAGCGAGTTTGGATAGATGATAATCAACAACGATTAAACCATACAATAGCTGGAATGTTACCAAACAAAGTTGGTTTTTAGGTCCCAGTTTGCGTTGGCAGTATCGACAAAATAAAACAAAAGAACGGGTTTCACAGTTTGAACGTTTTACTACGGGTTGGACAGAAGGCATTTACAATCGAATTGATTAGACAAGCACACAGGGTTTAGCCCCTTCCAAGAGTACATAACAACGCCAATTGGTGATAAATGCATGTTCAAATACGGGCGTGTTGGCTTCGCTTCGCCAAAGAGCGGAATTAACCCATAATTAGCATAACTACTGTATAAATATGAACAGCGTACATACTGGATTACTCACGGCTGAAGCACTGTCAGAGTTCGATGATTATTGTAATGGCAAAATGTTCATTATACACAGCTGACGTCATATAACTCACAACTGCACATTCCTATATTCAGCCAAAAGCACGATGTTCCGCATATCTCCAGCCAGTGCCTACCCATAATAAGCCAAAGGAGCTCTACACACCAACTTCTTGGCTACTTAACAACTCGTCGATAACATCAAACATTTCCAGCTGCTGACTTGTCCACGGCCTCATCGGAACCGTCACATGCGCTATAAACCGCCGTGGAAGGCGCTGGACAAGTGGACAACCAGTCTCGATCAGCCGTCTAGCGACACACCGCCACTTCCAAGGCAGCGATTTATCCGCTTCTTCAGTTCAAAGCAGGAATGGCTCTCGCATGTCACCTTTGGCCGCTGTGACAGCCTGTCGAGCTCCTTGGACTCGACGCATCCCGTGGTAACATTCGGCGCTGGACCTGACCAGGCAGTGCTACCTAGCGGACGGTTTTTGTACTGCAGTTATCAGCGACGGCCGCTAGAGGGCCGTCTCCAGTGGTCGTCAGGAGGTCGGCTGGTAGGACCGGTACGTGTAGAAGCGTTTCCGCTTGTGACCGAGCGTGCAGTAGAGCATCATCGAAGAGACCATGCCGAAGAGCTGCAAGGAGAGGAGAGATACAGTATGTTACGGTAAAACAACGGGCAGTGGCAGTTGGCACGACTGACGTGCACTGGCGGATCCAGGGGGGGGGGGGGGGGGCCACCGGGGCCATGGCCCCCCCCCCCCAAAAGCCTGAAAGGGGGGCCAACATATCTTTTGGCCCCCCCAAAACGCTTGGAGAAAAATTAATGTGAGAAGGTTGCGTAGTAGATACCTACTAGAATCAGCAGCGTGATTCAATAGCGTAGAGAAAGTCAGGGGCGCGGGAACTACTTTCAGACTGGGGGAGCACACCATAATAGAGATCAACCTAGGGTCCCCCCAAATCTAGTTTTCTCACCGGTTTTAGGCCACTTATTTTTCATCCCTTGGCTTTTTCAACAAAAAAAGAAAAACACTTGCAAAAAAGGACCGGGGCCAGGGGGCCACCGGGGCCATGGGCCCAAAAAGCCTGAAAGAGGGGGCCAACATATCTTTTGGCCCCCCAAAACGCTTGAAGAAAAATTAATGTGAGAAGGTTGTGTAGTAGATACTTACTAGAATCAGCAGCGTGATTCAATAGCGTAGAGAAACCCAGGGGCGCGGGAACTACTTTTAGACGGGGGGGGGGGGGAGGTCACACCATGATAGAGATCAACCTAGGATCCCCCAAATATAGTTTTCTCGCCGGTTTTAGGTCACTTATTTTTCATCCCTTGGCTTTTTCAACAAAAAAAAAGAAAACATTTGCGAAAAGGAGCGGTATTCTGTCTGAAAGTTGTGGGGGCACCGCCCGCACGGCCCCAGAGTTGGGGGGGGGGGGGGGGCAAGCTGCCACCACTGCCCCCTCCCCCGGTTCCCGCGCCTATGGAGAAAATACCGGGTTTACTAGCTTCCTTCATAAAGTGTCGTCATGTCTTATCGTCACCCGAGAAGGTCTTATTGCATAAATATCGATTGAGCTGTCAAGTTAACAAACTTGCTGTGGCAGCCTGACCTGACATGACCCGGCAACTTTTCATTCACGGAATATGCGCAATAAATTTTTTAGGAAAACTCACTGAGTTTTCGTTGAAAAAAAAACTTGTTTTGTTTCGTAATTGTACAAGAAGCATATGAGGGACCTTTTTGTCCCTTCCTGCGAAACGGTAAAAGACTTATTTCGGTCACAGCTCAGGCCAATCTCTAAGGGTCAGTCGGGTCACTTGTTTCTTAAAAGGGTCCTTACGGCATCCAAGGACCAATTCCGGCTTTTGAGTGCGCCACATCAGAATTTGATGCTACGACAGATGTCGAAATCTGAATATATGTTACAGGCCGTATGAAAATTCGGTCCGTTTGCAAACGGCCTGGCCCAGTCAGGCCATATGAAACTACCTGAAAACACCGGCCGTTTGCAAACTATGACCTAAAATATCAGACCGTTTGAAAACGACCTAGTTAGTTTCGGCCTAGCGGATCCAGGGGGCCCACGGGGTCATGCCCCCAAGCCTGAAAGGGGAACAACATATATTTTGTGTCCCCAAAAACACTTAAGAAAAATGAATGTGAGAAGGGCGTAGTAGGTAGAGAGAAAATACCGTATCATTAAAAATCTGTGAGCTTGATAAAAGTGTTGGTCTTGTCTTCACCCAAGAAGTTCTTATTGCACACTTTAACCATGGATGAAAGAACCTTCATCCCCTGGTTCTCCTTCATCCATGCTTTAACTCTCGATCGACGTGTGAAGTTATCGTGTAAGGTATCATGAAGCCGATCGCGACGAAACTTTGGTACCCTCATGGTGACAAAGTCTGAAAATTTCATGACCCTGACCCAAGTGAACTTTGACTTGTGGCCTATTTCTCGAGACTGTTTGGCCATGTTGGAGGCCATGTTTGGCCGGAATAGCGATTCGGCGTATGTCGGCTCACATTATCCGCGCTTTTATAGTCTTTTCGTGGTTTAAAACGCTCAAACATGTGATATGATGTTGCTCCCACACATTAGGGCGGATGCCAATGTCACCTTACGGTCAAGTCAGGTCATTGACCTTTGATGACCTCGGTGCACTTTTCCGAGTTTAACATGTTTCTAGGATAGTTTCGTTTAGCTGATTTTGAATTTAGCATTTTGCAGCCATTTGAACATTTACGAAGTAGTTTTGATGCCTTCGTATCATGTTACGTAGCTGCCAGTGGTAGTGGACACCTGCTATACGGACGCCCATAAGTACTCCTACTGGCTGATCTGACCTGACCTGCCCCGACATGGTCTAAACGCATGAAGACATTATCTATGATCCAAACTAACATGAAATTTGTGATCAGCACAAAAAAAAAACGTATTACAGCCTTACTTTAGGAGGTTCTGACAGGTCCTGATTTTCCCGTCTTTTGGGTCTGTGACCTGACCTGGGCGGTGTTTCACGGCACGCTGCCAGCCGCTGCCAGCGCTGATGGCACTTTTGGTTTCAATGGAGACATCAACAAGCCTATACCCACAACACTACCGAAGGCTGACCTTAGCTCGCGGAATGCGCTGTCAGCGGCTGTCAGCACGACCGTGAAACACCGCCCTGGAAGGTCAACCAATGACCAAGGACCTTAAAATCGGGTATCATCGGCTTCGTCTCGTCACTCACGGGCAACACGCCTGTTTTTTTTTTTCCGCGAGCTCTAGCTTAATCAGGGGCCGAACGGCAGGGGGTCCAACCGACACCTCCCAGCCCGCGAAGGCTGCGCCACGCACCGACCCGGAGCGGGCTAATTGGTCGACAAAAGCAATTTGAAGTGTTTTCAAAGTAATATTTAGGCTCGGGTTGGGTGGGCTACCATTTCTATTTTTTTATTTTTAGTTTAAAAAAATATATCGTTTCAGGGCTGTGACGAAAAAATAAGTGGCCTAAATCCGATGAGAAAACAGGATTTGGGGGTACCCTAGGTTTGGTTACTTGCAGGAGTTGCCCCCCCCCCCAAACGCAAGTCTGGATCCGCCAGTGCTGACGTGAACGGTACCTACATAGATGAGGGAGTTGACTGATAGGTAGGACGTAGGTACACTAGTCCACTTCTGAAATGGTCACTATATGATGAGCATCTATGGGCTGTTAAGTTAACTGTCAAGCTAAACTATAACTTTTTAAGATGATTTTCTGCGCTCGTGTCGTGCCCATTCCATTTGTCTGTCTGAAAGATGATAATGTCCATAAGCTGCTGAGCGACCCCAGCACCACCTACAGACTCCGGGCGGCAGCCCCTAAGCAAAGAGTGGCACTGAGCAAGCACCATTCTGCATGCCCTAACAGAGTTGACTCATTTATAGGGTCACTGCCAAAGAAGCACTTGACAGCTGACCTTGACAATCATGTGGAATTATTATTAGGCATGCAGTCAAGCCCAGCCTTGGCATGGTGCATTCGACCCCGATCAAAACGGCCTTTACCTGTATGAAGGCGAGCACCAGAGCAGCTATGCCTAGCACATGGAGCCGCTCCAGGAACCAGATGTTGATCATTTCGTAGCAGCCGGCTCTGTGCCAGTGACTCGGGAGGCCGCTCCGTCCACAGTCTGAGGGTCAAACAGGTGTGTCACGTGACTTACAGGAGAGCCCCGCACGGTGCATGAGCTGAGGAGTGGTGACATCACGTGACGGCCGTACCGCGAGCACATTGTCATGCAGAATAGATTGTCATGCAGGGCTGATCACGACTTTCAAAGTCACGACACGGTACCGCAGCAAAAGTGGTTTCCAAAGATGCTAAACGATGAAGGTAAACATCACGACAAAGGTGCGGCAGCAAGGGACGCTGGAAGGGCTCTAGGCAAGATTTATAATGTGGTCAATATCGAATAGTTTAAAATCTACTTTGCAGCACTTATGGCTACCGCATTCGTAAAAATAATCGCAAGCTTTGCATTTCGCTCTTACGGAGTTTAATTAAAAATGTCATGGGATTGGTGAGCAATGCTGGTGATTAAAGTTATTCTCACGATCTGTCGCGATTGACGACAAATGACGGCCGAAATCACTATCTTCGGATAAACGTGAACGATCTTAGAAGATTGCTGCTTTTGTAGCACATTATCAGCATGCATGCTGACATTCCTCAGAAAAAAATTACCTTCTCTCAATATTGCAGCTATTCTCACAATGTGTCTGATTGCCAAACAATATAACCGCCCCCAATTCAATAAAGCACTTCAGTCTGCCAGTCAGCCTACAGCCAATGACGTTAACAATAGCTGCACTCTACAGCTACCCGCTGCGTCTGCGCCCTTCTCTCGCCGTCGGAACGTAGCCAGTCCACAGGGAGAGGGCCGCAAAAACCAGCGTGCACGGTCACAAATCGACCGAGGATGACTTGCGAGGGTGGTGAGACGCTCTAGAGGCACTCGGGGTACCTGAAGATGCTCTCAACGGTCGCGGGGCGGCTTCAGCGGTTAAAGAGCGGCTCTGAGAGAGGGGGAGGGGACGGTTGGGTGCTGTGATGGAGCAGCAGCTCACTAGAGCGCGGTGGAGCGGTGGGTATAGGGCAAAAACACGACAATTATACGCAGGTTTGAGACGGACACACGCAGAGGAGACGATCTGTGCGGGACAGCGAGCAGGCGGGGCGGAAAGGAAAAGGTAGTGCGAAGAGACATCACAGGAGCTGCGAGACGGCAAGGAATGCAGTCAGCGGGAGTCTGAGCGGGAAGACGGGCCCCGTCAGGGTGCAGTAGCCTGCACAGTGCACACGGAGCATTGTTTTCATCCAGGCAGCAAACAACATGAGTCGACACTTTGGAAGGCTATCGCGGTCCGTAGAAATGCCACGACGAAAGGTGTGTACGCTCGGTCAGCTGGTGCGTTCCAGGGCTCCGGCATTGTATCTCGGTGTCAGCTATCACTGGCTGCGCACAGGACACACGGCACGTATAGCACGCGCTGCTTACCGGTGGTATTTTTCACCCAGGGCAGGCAGCACGAGTCCGGCACGATGGACTCGTCTGGCCAGGCGCTGATCGAGTACCAGTCCTTGTACGACTGCACGCCGCAGCAGTCGAACTGAAACGCAGCGCACAAATCCTTGTGAGACAATGTATATGAATCGGCAGTCAGACAGAAACACAGGCAGACATATATCCCTGTGAGAGTTGGCAAAACAGCAGTGAAACAAGACTACTGACGTAGATGTTCATACGACACCGAACGGCAGCAGTGGCGCGGAAATAAATCGTACAACATAAATCAAGGCTTAGCAGTAATTCATTTTCGTAGCATACGTTATTCGCTCTCTTCAAGTCTACTATTTAAGCCGCGTGAGCTTTACAGCATACAGATGAAACTTAAAACGACACCTCGGGGTGTTCCGAGCATTTCAGACACACCTAATCCAAACTATAGTGACAAGATTTGTGACGCACGACTGCTAAGCCCGCCTCAGAGACGGCCGGCGGGCAGGAGACACCCACACGGTTCGATCGATTCCCGATATATCGGCCGCCAATATCCGGGGGCGGGGATCTGTTGAACCGGGGCGTGCCCGGCGATGGATGGCTCATTAGCATGGACGCCGAGCGGCCGACCGGCTGGACGGGACCGGTCAGATATAGGCGGAATCCGCCCATCGGTCAGCACAGGCGTGGAACTGGGGGCGACCGGTCGCCGAGTCGAGTCGCGGTCGTGGCTGGCTCGGTACCGTCTAGCCTTATCAAGTTCGACGGCAGCGTCAGGCCAGGGTTTATAAATCAGCGAGCCTTGACCACGAGCTGATCCTGCTTTTAACCTCTGTGACTCAGCCCTATGCAACTATACCAGACAGACAGCAATTTTAATTAAAAATTTTAATGACCAGTTGGCCAGCTAACAGGAATGGAATGCTACTAAACATAGCCATAAAATGTGCCAAGCTGTACCTTGAAGTCCGCCCGTATTTGTCTAATTGTTTGTCTGTTCGTGTGCCTGCATCCGTCAGCGGAATTTTAGCTGAGTGGCAGCGGTCGGTCGGACGAGCGAACAAATAACAACAGTCACGTATAGGACGCTGGTCACAGCAGGCGGAGACCGGCCCCAGAGAGATCACACGATCAGCGGAATAGCACTGATGTCATCCCATTAAATTTACGACCATTTGATGATGAAAATGCCGTCTGGTTGTTGAAACTGTCAGCCAGCTGTCGCAGAGGCTATTCTTGACAATGCAGAATGACAGCCACCTCAGCAGCAAGTTATGCACCCATCGACAGCTGATTGATTAATTCATAGTTTCCACAGCCAGTCATTCGGCGCATTTATAAAACCTGACGTAGGAATCGCTACTGATTTTTTCGCCATCGGCTTGCGTGTGCAGGGAACAAAAAAGATGCATTAGTAAATCCCAACACTTTCCCGGACAACCACAGATGGTCTTCTGACCTCTAGTGGCCCTAAATAGCCTGACCGTACCTGATGACCCCGGGCGGTCCTCTGTGACCTCTCGTAACCTCTGCAAACCAGAACTGTCCCCGATGACCGCAGCTGACCAGCTGTGACGAGCTGTGACCTCTAGTGACCCCTATACACCTAACTGTCCCTGCTGACCCTAGATGACCTACTGTGACCTTTAGTGACCTCTGTATACCATAACTGTCCCTGATGGCCCCAGACGACCAACTGTAACCTCTCGTGACCCCTACCCACCCCAAATGTCCCTGCTGACCCTAGATGACCAACTGTAACCTCTAGTGACCTCTACAAACCTTAACTGTCCCTGATTACCCCAGGTTGTCCCTTATGACCTCTCGTGACCCCTACTGACCCCAACTGTCCCTGCTGACCCCAAGTGGTCCCCCGTGACCTCTAGTGACCCCTACACACCCCAACTGTCCATGAAACTGTCCATGATGACCCCGGGTGGTTCTCCGTGACCGCCGTCGGACAGCGCTAACACATGTTTTCCGAACACGCCGCGCCGCTCCACGCCGCGTTTACGGAAACGACGAACCGACCGCCGCCGGCCTGGCATTTATAAATATTTGATTGGCCGCCGAGGTAGGCTGCCGTTCCGCGGCACCTGCGGGGCACGTGATGAGTTCGTGGCGCCCTCCGCCCTACACCTACGCCCGCCTGGTGACCGTTGGGCCGCCACGCCGCACCGGTCACCGATCAGACACGTTCAGGGCCACACCGACCGGACCTGCAGCCTGATCTCCGGGCCAGGGCTGTTTATTTGGACTGGCAATTGCAGCTGTGACGTCACACATGGATGTCCTTGTGCAGACAGCTGATGACGGCTGGGATTAGTGTGAGAGGGGCGATCGGCTGATTGAGAGGCGGAGTGACTGATGACCAGGAGAGACATCCGGGATGGAGCCGCCCTGCCGCCCAAGGTGAAAAATGTACCCTCCAGTCCCATCATTAATGAACCACTAAATCAATTATTAAACATTCAAGGAATGGCTACGATAAATCTATTAGTTATTGCGATGGCATGTTATATGAATCTTTGTATAGGTTAAGTAATTAACGTATAATAAACACATGCCTATCTGAGACCATAGCACGAAGCCCTCTTATTTTTCTGTAAGAATATCACTTTATAATTTATATTTTTTGTCCCTCTATAAATGACAACGAAATCAGCAATCATATTGGGCGCTGCCGGTCTGCAGTAAAAGAAACCTGCTCCCGCCTACACGTCCACCGTTTGAACCACAGGTGTTGATCATCGTGCTCTGATCAATGTTTCACAGCTCCAGCTGATCACCGGTACACGACTTTCCGTTTAGGACGATTTACGGCGGCGGCTCAGGCGCGGGATTAACGTAGTGCCCGTGATAGTTCAGTGCGCACCTAACTGATGAATGTGGGTCCGCTACGGCCTCGGTATTTATGGGAACTGAACTGACCGAATTCCACATCAGATATAGCGGAGTTGCCGTGTGAAAGGCCATGACGTGCACGCAAATACCCCCATTTCTGCTAGAATGAGGTGAGAAAATGCATAAAGTGCACACTCGACTATGCACATACGTCGGTAGGCATTTGACGGCAGTAAATTATGCGATTTGTATTCACCGTTTGCCATTGGAATACGAATGAAGGTGTCTCTCACCTCCTGCTGGATGTGGTCCCAGGTGACGGCCAGGCTGTTGGAGCGGTTATAGTGCTGCCGGACGCCGGCGTTCAGCTCCGAGACCAGCGTCTCGCCCAGCTCTATTTTGAAGATGAAGCAGAGCACCATCACTATGAGCTCCAGCAGAAACGCGAACGCCACACAGCTGAAATACTGAAACGGAGAGGGGCTTTGGTCAGGACTGCCTACACAGTCGGGACAAGCAAAAACGTGGAATGGTGCAAGCCAGATACAGTGCACAAAACTATCGCAGCGGGTTTATTTGGGGACAGGCAGGTGCAAGCCAGATACAATATAGGTAGGAGCATAGCTGTAGCTGTACGTTTTATTAATTAAGCTCTTGAACTAACTACCCAAACTCCAAGGATGGATAACTGCCTAGCATGACGTCTTCATAATGTACGTTTTAAATGAGATATGCTCATACGAATTGAATATGATTGCCATTTAAAAGACCTGTCGGTCATAACTGGCTAATTTGAATTGAAATGAGAAGCATTGCGGGATATTTAATTATCTGCATGCCTCGCTTGGACAATTACAGCAAGAGTATCCGTACGGTTAAACCGGCATAACTCATCTGAATGTCCAGAAAAATACGCCGCATTAATGAGTTATTTCATAAGAATGTCGCGAGCTGATTGATTTAGACGGCAGCCGGACGGTCCATTAACAGAGATCGCTTTATCTGCCGTCGAAGGCTGTGTAATCTAACAGAGTGCCCTTATCCCGGGCTGGGTTTTATAGTCCCCACCGGCCACAGAAGCTGTTTTATCAGTGCACCATTAAAGGTTCGTCTGATAGGCAGGCACGCGGGTTTTTGTGTCCGTTGGCTTCATTTTTTACTCGAATGCATCATAACCGCCAAACAAAAACTAAAAAGGGAAATACAGAAGAGCAACATTAGATTTGTGCAAAACTTACAAGACTATAGTAATAAAAATGTCCAGCATTTCACTGATCAGTGAACAACGCTAGGATTTTATCTAACACATAGTATACCATTTCTTCAAGTCGGAGAAGTTTAATTTGGATACACATCGTTTAAGTACACAATAAATCTTAATGTTGGGGATTAATGAAAAACAAGCTATTAAATTTAAAACGTTAAGTCTCAGACCTTCGTTCCAACAACAATTGAGACTGTATGTGCCCATACTGCGAATTTACGACTTGGCCTACAATGGGTCGCTGCATTCTGCATGTTACAATTACTACCATAAACAACGAACAATGCACAATTATGCTGCACCCAAATGAAGTTACTACGCTGGCTGGACCACCCCTGTGCCACCCCTGCACAGTGACACCCACTCGGTCCTGGTCCGTACCGTCATCAGCAGGCAGCGGTTCTGGAAGCAGGCGCCGCAGCAGCCGAAGAAGGCGATGACGGCAGCGATGACGCCGGCGGTGATACACAGGCCGTCAACACTCAGGCCCTGGTAGTTGGAGAGCAGAGAGCTGTAGCCGCCGTGGGCGAACCGCAGCCACAGACCCACGCCCAGCAGGCCGCAGCCGCACAGCTGAAAGGAGGAAAAGGTCAGGTCAGGTCAAACTGCGGCCATGGAATAGATAGTTGATAGTCTAATTTATACCGTAGGTTAGCTTGGTCTGGTGAGCTATTACAAAGAGAGCATATTTATTCGTGGATAGGGTTCACTTATATACAGAAGTAGCGTAATTTAGGTAAACCATCAGAGTTAAATAATCACCGCAAAGCGCATTATTTTGCCGAGTTGCCTTGTTTGTTTATCTTACAAATGAGACTATCTGTCAGTCAAGCGCAAATCGCAACGTCCAGGACCACCAAAGGGGTTCTGCGCAAGGGGTAACACTGTTCACGGGACAGTCCCGTGTGAATGATGGTGGCTACATCATGATGATGAACAATGCACCGTCAGTCGGTCCACTGTCCATCGGCTGACGCAATGTAAAGCTGAGCCTTCCAGGGCCCCAATGTTTACAGTCAGCGGGACCTTGTTCCTGGAGCTGATCGTCTGACGAGCACTGGAACACAGTGCATGCACATTGCAGATTACTGCATGCAAGAGTAGTGTGAGAGAGCGCGTGTGTGTGGGACTTCAAACTCCACCGTTATCGCACCAGTTCTACGAGTTGCATGCCGCGGGTCTGTTGGCAATTTAATAATGGTCTCTAGTCTGCGTGACCCAGTGCTCGGCTGAGAAATCCCCACACTGAAAAAAATTTTTACTCACTTTTCTGAGTAATGACTGAGTTGCCATTTTGTCCAATGGTAAAACTCACTCTAAATCCGCGTACTCAGGTAAAACTCAGGGCGGAACGCAGGTAAAACTCGGGCAAAACTCATTGCAAGTGAGTAGCATGTGAGTAACAAAGTGAGTTGCCATTTTGTCCGATGGTAAAACTCAGATAAAACTCAGTAAGTACTCATGCGTAACTCATGTCCTACTCAGACAACTCAGGCCAAACTCAGGTATTAGTAAGTCATTACTCATGAAAAACTAGGAAGTAACTCACATGTAACTCAGCTGGTACTAATGTATAACTCAGGTGGTAGTACGGCCATAACTCAGTTGGAACTCATCGGTTATTCAGTGAAAACTAGGGCTGTACTCAGGACGTACTCACGTCGATAACTCATACGATACTCGGGTGTTACTCAGGCGCCGCCTGAAACGGCTGATCTGATTCGTTTTATATTGGCTCAAGCCAATGTATAGGCTCGCCGCCCATGATAACAGCTGCCGCATCAGCATTATGCAATATGCATGCATGATGCTGATACAACAGCCACTACCAGGCAGCTAGTCTATATATTGGGATTGGCCAATATATAACGAATCATTGCCCAAAACCAGCATACATATCTGTATTATACCATGCCCGACCAACGTCTAGTCTTGCACTATTCGCCCCAGCCCTTACAAGAAATACATGTTTGTAGAAACGGTCGCATTGCGCTGTATTTCAATTCTGACCCACGCCAAACTGCGTCGGGGGGGGGGGGGGATCGACTCCACGTCAGCTCGTCAGCTCAGCTTCACTCTTTTGCCAGCTTCTCGACCTCAGTCTTCGCGGCTACAGGTGGCTGGCGCTCAGCATTGAATGGTGCGTGGAGCACATGGATACACACAAACCACAGCGTGTTTCGCACTTTGTGCGCCGTTTGTTGACTGAGCACAAAGTGCGCCGTCGCCCACAGCAAAAGACTCCCTTCCAAACCATGGATCCCCACAAGACTTCCGTTCGCTCCACGATGAGGCGGCACCGTTCGTTTTCTTCGGACTTGTTATGATAGGGGTGATCCAAATTTTCGTCACCCGTGTACGCCACCACTGACGCCTTCTCCGCCAAGATGCAGAGGAGGCTCAATGGGCCGTTCCCTGAAAACACAATAAAAAAGTCATTTTCTTTTGCCAGTAAGAGAAACGGAAGTTATAGGGCATGCAAGGTGATTGAAATATCAAAAGTTATCAAGTTACTTCAGCTCAAAATTAATGTTAAACCGCGCCGTGCTGGTGCTCTGAGTTTACCGTGATGTACTGGGGGAGGGGGTCGTCTTAACGTCCCCTCTTCTAACTCGGCTGTTGGGGTTGGGCCACGTAGCGACACGCCGTAACCGGCTTTCGAAAAAGCATTAAAGATATTTAAGGAAATACTTGGGTAATTTTAAGGTCAAGTCAAGTGCCAGGTCACCAGAGGTCAGAAAAGGCCAAATTTTGCTTACTTCAATATTTTCGAAAAACTGGTGCTTAACTCGGAACCAAAAGAGCTGCCCGCGGAAAAATGCAGTCAAAAGCCCTTTCGACTTTTTTTTTTGCTGGCGTTTGATCTCAGATTTGACCTCAGGTCAACAATTAAGCCTCCAGAGAGCAAAAACTCTAAAAAAGCCGTTTTTACCAAAATGTTTTCTGTAATACTTTCCACTCAAGAGTCACGACATTTATTTTGCCGTTAGCATAGTGTTCCTCTCGTCGGGACGAATGAACTATAATTAGACCTTGAAAGGCCATATTTAAAACTTGACCTTAGGTTGACCTGACCAGGTCATGTTGCATATCAGTCGATCCAAACCGTCAAGCTGAACACATATGAGGTGTTTTATTGCACTAGCAAATATATTTTATACATGCCGTAGGTTGATACTTGAGACATGGTGATGGGACAGTATCAAAAACGCTATACAATGAAATCCGTTCGATATTTTTTTGACATTTTACCTCAAACTGGTGTGAAATCGAGCGGTGAATTCCCTGAGCGAAAATGACAAAAATATCGAACGGTTTCCATGGCACGTTGCGAACGGTGCGATCGTCAGCGACCATTGAAATTTTTCCGATGTTAAGTCATTTGACGTGACCTGACCTTGAACGACCTGGGTCTAAAATTTCTTCATATGCAGAAACAAATGTATGAGCAGGTGTGCCGAAAATGGTGGCGCTGCACGCCGCCGTTCTTAGATATTCGCGAAAAACCTGAGGGGGCGGGGTGGGGGGCGTAAAACGCCACCCAGCACAGCGCGGGTCAAGGTCGGATGGTCACCTTAACCCGGCACCGCCTGGGCTATTTCCGTACCCACATCAGCCTGGGGGGGGGGGGTCGGATCCGACCCCCCCCCCTGTTATCTCGAGAACCAATGGTCGTATCGAGCCCCGCGAGGCGGCGTTCGAAAGGTCTCTTCGAGACCTTCCCAAAGCGCTCTTAAGATTTTAAGATTGAGGTCAACTTTCGGGTCAAGGTCAGGTCAAAGGTCAAATTCAGGGGGTTTGCATGATTAGGCTTATGGACAGCGGAATCGATAGCTGATGCTCGAAACTCACCACAAATGACCTCAAAGACCTAGTGAAGGTACCATGTGCGTATAGGGGTCATACTAAGTACGGGTCAGGTCAGGTCAGGTCACGAAAGGTCACGGTTTTCACTTTCTGCTACATGGGCGTGCGACACATGTTTTATGGCTTATTTTTCACGCCAAATCCGATGGTAATGGTTATATGTGACCCCAATTCACTGTGCTGGTGATAAGTGTGCATTGAAAGCATAAAAAATCGTTTATACCATACATAACTAAACGAGGGCTAAGAAAAAAAGTCAATTTTTTAACTTTTTATTTTTGACATAAAAATGCACTTTTCTAGACGAGCTTTGTCCCAGGAATCTAGTGGTGCCATTTGTTTTCTCATGCGATGTTCAGAAGTGCCTCTAATTCGCGAAAATGCTTATGACGTCACCATGCCCTATGCATGTTGGAGCTATTTTTTACAATTTGGGGGTCAAAAATCAAGATAGAAAGTTGAAATTTGGGACATCTAATGTTCTAATAGAGCTCTTTAACATATATTCCGGTTTTTTGGAAATTCTCAAAATTTTGGATTTTATTAGCTGTTTTCCAAAAAATATAGTTTTTTGAATTTTTAGGGGTGAAAAACGCATTTTATGGAAAATCCGAGATAGCCATTTTAAAGAACTTGTTGAGCTGCGTCTTTTCATGTCCTTAATTTGCAATTTGCTTAAAACCTCGATTTCTGGCGATTTTTTAAACATTTACCATTTTTTGGCTGAAAACGCCATGTAGTTACATCACTAAAATCGATATATCTCAGAAATTTTTGAATTTTTTTTTTCTTGAAAATTGCACAGGAGACGTCAAATTGATGGGGGAGAAGGTATGCAAAGTTTCAAGTTGATAAAATTATTTCAAGTGTGGTCGCTGAACGTCTTAAGTCTGTTGCGACGTTACTTGTAAGTCCCGACCAGACTGCTTATTTGAAAGGCAGGTTTATTGGGGAAAATACCAGGTTACTGTACGACATTATTCATCACTTTAGTGTCCAAGGACTCGATGGAGCTGTTCTGGCGATTGATTTCGAAGACGCATTTAATTCTCTGAATTGGCAATATACCAGATGTGTGTTAGAATTAATGGGATTTGGAAATAATTTTATGGACCTATTTGAGATGTTGTACACTAATAAAAACAACTATTCAAGGATTATCCTCAATGGATATCTAGGAGAAAAAATCACGCATAGTCGCGGCTTTCGTCAAGGTGACCCTGCATCTGGTTTGATATTTATTTTAGCGGTAGAAATCCTAGCGAATTTCCTCAGAAAGACGCCATTTAGAGGCATTAAGCTACCAAGCGGATGTGAAGCTAAAATTTCACAGTACGCAGATGACACCATTATATTTTTGGAAGGTAGGAACCCCGATATACGTATAGTGATGCAACAACTTGGAGAGTACAGTAAGTTCTCTGGTTTGAAACCTAATATCAACAAATGTAAATGCATGTGGCTGGGGCCACCAAAAAAACCTGTATGCGAGAGTCTCCCCATCACATGGGTGAAGGAACTAAAAGTTTTGGGCATTATTTTTAGTGCGGATCCAGATGAGGTAGAAGAGTTAAACTTCCCGGAGAAAATTAAGAGCATGCAGGCATTATTAGACTATTGGCGAATTCGGAATCTTTCTCTCTTAGGTAGAGTGACAGTAATCAAGACTCTTGCCATATCAAAATTAGTTCATTTATTTTGTTCAC